GCCTCTCTTGTAATCGATTTATGATGATGGATATGATGGGTTTTACATGCAATAATATGGATAAATCCTTATACACTTAAGGGTACATGCAACCTATTAGATCAAGTCATAACACTGTTGGAGTAACATTCTATTACACAACAAGAACCCTATAATCCTAGCTAATTTTGAAATTCATAGAAGAATATTACATACCTTTTTATTGTTGTAGTAAACAATCAAATAATCCTTATTGAAAAAACTCTTGGAATCTAGCACCAGAAATATCGTGCCTCTGATGGTTCACACCTAAACCCTAGAAACTAGGAAACTTGAAGAGAAAAGAGGGGAGGGAAAAAATTTCGACTATGCTCTTAGCTAATGGTGTAACACCCGGAATCTAGAAGGTCAATTAAGGAAGATAAAACTTCATTTATAAGTCTAACTCATCGAGTTCTAGAGGAAGAACTTGACGTGTTAGAAATTTGTCATGCGTGTTTTTGGAAGACCAACTCGACGAGTTGGGGAGGTCCAACTCGACGAGTTGGACGAGGTTTGGGAACCCTAATTCCGGGATTTCGTACCCTATTTAAACAACTTAAACCTCATGAGTTAGCCTCATTTCCAGCCTCCATTGTCCTAAAACCTAACCTCGAAACCCTTCGTTGGTCCGGAATTCTTCCGAGAAACTACCGAGAAGAAAGTACAAATCCAGGAGCGATGTGAAGCTCCCAGGGTCAGGCAGAAAAATTACGCCTTCGATAAGAGAAAACCCTTGGAATTCTAGGTTGGTGACCTCATCATGTGAAGGTCTCACCCCGGAAGGGCATGATACGCTTCGGAAAGCGTGGAATACTAAATCCAAGGTACACGAGATCATTGGAGATTCTTACTAGAGTTGATCCAGTAACGTATAGACCTCGACTACCTCGATAATTCAATAGCATACACCCTACCTTCCACATCCTTATCTTTCAACTTGTTTGTTCGACGAGACTCTTGTTATCCCACTCGATTAGATCAAGGTAAACGAGAGCCTCAGCTTCGTGGAAGAATCCGTAGAAATCCTAGACACCGAAGTCGTTAGGACTAATCAGATCCTTACCCCATTAGTGAAGGTCCGCTGATATGCATAGCGAGAACCGGATTTCACTTAAGAACGGGAAGATCAAATGGAACATGAGTATCCATACTTTTCACCTTCGTTAATGTATATTCTTTAGACTTAATTTCGGGATGAAATTCTCTCTAACGGGGGGATGATGTGACAACCCGCTATTTTCTTATTGAAAAGTCAACCCTAGTCAATCAAAGTCAAACTTGGGTCAACTAAAATCAACTAAAATCTTATTCTATTTTAAATGGATTAGATTAATGTTTTATAAATGTGTACACCTCGTATTCGAGGTGTTATATGTTTAAGAGGTGAAAAATTGAAGTCCGAAATCCATTCTTTCTTTCCCTTCGGACACCAACCTCGCAACCGAGAACAAGTAAACTTCGGACCTTACACTTCGGGCCGCAAAAGATTCACGGTTGTGAACTCCTCGGACCGTGAACCCTCGCAGCTGTAATCACGTTCTCGGCCACCACCGCCTTCGGACCGCAAACGAGGTTCACGGCCGTGAACCCTTCAGATCGTGAACCCTCGCTTATATATAAGGGTGTTAGCCATTTTCTCCTCATTTCTCATCTTCCATCCATGAACTACCCCATTCTCTCTCAAGTATCATCAACCATGAACCCTCCTTTCTCCTCAAAAGTGTAAGAATCACTACCCTTTTCTTGTTGTTCATGTGAAACCCTTTGATTCCATCTTTGATTCATCACATTTTCTTCAAGATCATCAGGTGTTCTTGGGTCGTGAACCATCCCAGGGCCGTGAACACATCATCTTGGTCGTGAACACTTCAAGTGTTCTTCATGTTCTTGGGCCGTGAACCACTCATAGGGCCGTGATCCCTTCACTCTTGGCTGTGAACTCCATTTCAGCCTCCTAATTTGTTTCTAACACTCTTTTGGTGAGTTACTCTAGCATCCTAGGTTGTTTCCTAAATACCTTTGTAGTTATATTCATTAACACTACACATATTTGTGTAATAATATGCTAAATAGGATCTATTTGTGCTCGGGACTTCACTTAGCATATCAATCATCCTATATCATATCTTCAATCAAATCTCCAACACAAGGTGAGTTCATAACCCTATAATCTACCTTTTAAATGATTTTAAATGCTTTTTAGGAGGGGAATACAAGTTGAACACAATTTAATGGTGTTAATCATTGCATGTGATATCAATCACATAAAAGATTTCCTTATGCTTTTAAGGATTACCAAATACTTCCATAATGACTTAAAGTCATGCAAACTCTTTTAAAGTAACCTAAACTCATTTTAGAATACCGTTAAACTCTCTTAAATGTTTTTATAACTCTTTAAACTTATAAACTGTCAAAATCATGTTCATATATGTATAAGTAAATAAATAAGACTTAAAGGGCTTAGGACTAATGAGTTGCCTTATTTCCTTTTCCTTGTTTGGATGCGGGCTTAAGGTTGGGTTATTTGTCCGAATGCCGTTTCCTTCTTAATTATATACATTATACATATGAGAATATAAAATGTTACTTCAATTGATATCATTACCTTTGTATCACACTGAGCAAAGGGGTACACTCATGAGAAATCATGCTAATCAGATAGAACGTATAAATTATAATAGGTATAATTTATGAAAGCAACGAGAAATCTATTTTCTATATAAGTATACGAGGTCTAAACTACTTTGTCAAGAAAAGGGTATAATTCGATCTTCACTCAAACTAAAATGTGATGGTACGTATTCAGGACATAGCAATACTTGCTATGTTACATTCTTGTAACCAGAGTCTCCTGGAGGGAGAGCGGACATTGTGTGGAGCGGACCATTGTGTGTATAGATCTATACGAGACGGACAATCCCACAGCCCGAATGCGAGCTACAGTCCGACAGACCAGCCATCGGGTGACAATGTTCACATATTCAGTTTCGACACTGGAAGGTCGTCGTGTTTATTTTAGTCTATCAGCATGGTTAACTTTATCACATTTTAACCCTAATTAACCAGGTTAATATTAGGGTAGTTATTCACCAGTAGTTTATTCTTTTTAAGAAATACTACTATAGTAATCACTTTCCATAATAAAAAAGGAACGATTTTATGGGATTAAAACTACTTTACGGAACAGTTTTATGGGATTAAAACTACTTTACGAAACAGTTTTATGGAATTAAAACTACTTTTCATCAACAAAACGGAAAACATTATTCTCATTACTTTATGGATAGTTAAAATTATGTTAAACCTTATTGTAAGTACAATAATACTTAAATGGAACGGTTTTATGGAATTAAAACTACTTATCAATCTTAAAGCAGAAAATGTAGGATTTTCTGGAACGTAATCAGTTACTTTTTTAAAACTAGTATAACCTAAAGGACCTTTAATGGTTGATTCAGTAATTCATTAGTTTATACATCAGAGTTATATATAAGTAATATCCAATTGGCAGTGGAATGTGTGACTTCCGCCTTACTTCCTATTCCTTGTTTGGTTGTGGGCTTAGGGCAAATACACACATTTAACTGTCCGTTCGATATTATGTTATATATATATTATAATAATATAATACTATATATATATATATATATATATATAAGATAATATATATAGTATAAATCTAAGTAATGTAGAAGAACTAATTGTGGTTATCATTTTATCATATTAGAAAATATAGGATTTTCTGGAGGAACATGCAAACTTTTCCAAGAATTTGGAGTATACTTTATATAAATAAAATACTTATGAACTCACCAACTTAAATGCTGATCTACTCTTTCAAAATAACTTGTATTCTCAGGAATCCAGTAGACAGGTACACTCCCGAAGCTTTTGAGAAGTCTGCCTAGTATCGTGCTGCATCTTTTGTCTTCTACCGTATCTACTTTGATGTTTGAATATTTAATGTTTAAACACTTATGTAAAACTTATACTTATTAATGCAATTGTTGTTTGTACTTTGATTACTATAATGCATTTGTTGTGATACTTACCTGACATCCTTCGCCCCCGAACGTTTCCGCCGTTCTGGTTTGGGGGTGTGACAGAAAGCCAACAAACCCGGATGGTTAGGTTGAGGTACTGCTCCGTGCGGTGGACCAACAAACCCGTATGGTTGGGTTGAGACTACATGTCAACAAAACCGGATGGTTGGGTTGAGACTCTATGTTAGCAAATCCAGGATGGTTGGGTTTAGGTTATGGGCCAACAACCCCTACATGCATGCATTGTAATTGTATTTCCATTATGTTGGGTATTTTGGAAAACTCACTAAGCTTGGGCTTACAATTGTGATTTCTTGTTTCATGTACTTCAAATGATCGAGAAAGGCAAAAACTTGATCGTATATATCCTCAATAATTTTGATTTCCGCCTGTTTTGGATACTCTAATTTTGGGATGTTTGTATTTGACACTTATGTTTTGTGACTTGGGTTTTATGAAAAAAATGAGTTTATCTAAATGAAAAATGAAAATTTTTATCGTGATTTTTGGGATGTTATAATTGTTGTTGGTTTCAATGTAGAGAAGATGACATAAGGAGGCGATCCAATGGTGGAGGGTGAAGAAGGATTAGGGGTCGATAGTAGAGACATAGAGGTTTAGAGGTAGTCAATGTGTGTTTTTCTATTTTTTTATTTATTAAAATATATAAATGGGTAAAAAGGAAAAGAAAAAAAAAATATTAGAAAGGGTAAGATGGTATTTTCATATGGACTAACAATAGGGACCAACCATGTTACAAAATCAATACTAGGACCAATAGTGTGAATTTGGACAAACCCATGGACCAGATTTGTAATTTACTCTTATAAAGTATTTGTTAGACGTCATGTAATTTTCTGATAATCCCACACAAACAAACACGAGATTGTTTTTACCACCATGAAAATTGTTTGAGCATCTACCGACTACTATGTATCATCGATTTACAATTAAAACACTTCAAACGCTCTCTCTGTAGTCTGTACTTTGCCTCTTCATTTCGCCCTTTCTTGCACCGCAAAACTGGGCCCCAATCCTCTCCCTTTGTTTGAACTCCGCATACGAGGATCAAGCACACTCTTCGAGAAAGTGAAACAGTGAGAGCAACTTCAAAATTTCAATCTCATATAGGGTTACATGAAGTAATCGGCGTCGGCAGCGGCAGAGGCGGTGGCGGTGTTCAGTTTGAATTTGGTACGATGGCTTCATATAGGAATGGGAGGGGGACGGTGAAGGTGGATCGTGCTCAACCAACTGGTTCATCGAATCTCAGAGCATCTTCTTCCTTCAAATCGAAGAATTCTATTGTTCGTCGTAGCAACTCCAGTGCTGGTTTCGATGATTCAGGTGAGTTTTAGGTGTGTTGGCGTTTTTTTTTCGAGTTCAGCTTTCATTTTCGTAATGCTGATCTCTTAGACTATTCGTGATGTACGGACGCTTCTGTTAGATTTGTTTATAGTTCCGTTTTTAGCAGCTGTGGTGATATTTTACTGCGAGATCCATGAACTGTTTGACTAGATAAGGCATTCTGAACGTTGTTTGTGGATTAGTTTTAGCTACTAATTTATACAGCATATGCATTCTATCCACTGGACACTTATTTAACAGCATTGTAGCATTAGTGCACTTAATTAGCTCTGTTATTAGACCAGGATTAATGAATACTGCTGATAGTTGTATATGACAATTAGTAATTTATATCATATAGACATGTAGCATTTGAACAACTTATTTTTGATGATGATGAGAAGTAAAATGTGAAATTATGATAAACCCTGGCAATGTGAAAGCTTTATCAAGGAAGGAAGAATACTTGAATATTTGGTGTTGAATGTGTGTTACTGTTCGCATACTTGAGGATTTTGGGATGCTCTATAATAGATTTAAAATGCATGTAACTTATGGACTTGGAGATTTTACAAGATGTAAGATATAGAATAGCATGATGATTCTTGTACTTGATTAACTGACAACTGTTGTAGTGTTGTGTACATATTGTAGTTGAATGTGATGTAATATGTGCAATATTCTCACTGTACTTTTATCCCATTCTTTTTAAAAGTTTCAAGTTGTTTATCATACCAGTACGCCTGCACTTGTATCCTAACTCGTTAGATAGATTTTAAAATAAATTCAGGATTTTGTTGGTTTAAATTCCATAAATGCTGATATTCATGTTGCAATCTAGAGCTGCTGGATAAAGACTTGGGTAGCCTAGGCATTTGCCAAAAGTGTTAATGACCCAATGTAGTAATTATCACACTCTTTAGATGATTCTGAATGCTGATCAGAATTTAGAATTTAGAAGTTCTACCTTAGTTAATACCAAGGCACCAACGATTATTCAACATCAACAATCTTTTTTCCCAACATGTTTGGGGTAGGTTAATGCCCTAACTACAAAATCGATTTAATTTTGTTATCTTGAATTGGTGTTGTAGTTTCTGGTCGAGTTAGAGTTGCTGTCAGATTGAGACCTCAAAATGCTGAGGAGATGGTAGCAGATGCTGATTTTGCTGATTGTGTGGAATTGCAACCAGAGGTGTGACAATTGTACTTCTTACAACTTAGGAGCACCTAACTACATTCTTCCAGTTAAATTTCATTAAATTATATCATTACTTACTGTGGCAAATCTTCATTTTTTATCTCAGTTTAAACGATTAAAACTTCGAAAGAACAATTGGGATTCAGACACTTATGAGTTTGATGAAGTGCTAACTGAATCTGCATCACAGAAGCGTGTTTATGAAGTTGTTGCCAAACCTGTAGTGGAGGTGGGTGATATCATACATATGATAACTTAGTGCTACATGCCTAAACAATTTCAGTTTTCCTGCTTCTAATTTTATGTTAAAATTTGAGCATGTAGTAATTGTTACACCCCATTAATTTCAGAGTGTTTTAGATGGTTACAATGGGACAGTGATGGCTTATGGTCAAACGGGCACAGGGAAGACTTTTACTCTTGGAAGATTGGGTGATGAAGACACATCAGCTCGTGGGATCATGGTCCGTGCAATGGAAGATATACTTGCTAACATAAGCCGGGATTCTGATTCTGTCATGATCTCATATTTGCAGGTAAATATGTTATAAACATATGATAAGTTATGATTCCTTGAGATTCCATTCCTATCATATATTTTATAGTAAGCAAAAATACTTGATTTTTATAATAAGTTCTGATTCCTTGAGATTCCATTTCCGTTTCTTCCAAACATTCTGACAACCAAACACCCCCTTACGTTTCTACTTTTGATCAAATTTGTTCATAAAATATCTGCAGCTTTACATGGAGACAATTCAAGACCTCCTAAATCCATCAAAATGACAACATTGCAATTGTTGAAGATCCAAAAACTGGTGATGTTTCTGTTCCAGCTGCAACTCTTGTAGATATACGAACTCACCAGGATTTCATGGAGTTATTGCGTCTTGGAGAAGCTCATCGAGTTGCTGCCAATACAAAACTCAATACCGAATCTTCCCGTAGTCATGCAATCCTCATGGTAAAATAACTGAACTCTTGTAGATTGTTTCACGTCCATTTTGTCAATATAGACAATGTACTTTATTTTATTTTCTACCCATAATAGCAATCTACTTTCATTTCCTTACCCATATTAGCAACCTTAACCTACTCCAGTTTTTTTACTGATAATGTCATAATGACAATATGCAACCCATAGTAGCAATGTACTTGCAATTCCTTACTCATAATTGCAATTTACTTTCATTTCTTTACCACTGATAGCAATATGAAACCCATAATAGCAACATATGCTACTCTTTCTGCCAATATGTACTTTATTTTCTACCCATAATAGCAATCTACTTCATTTCCTTACCCATACTAGCAACCTACTTCAAATTTTTACCGATAATAACAATATGCAACCCATAATCTTACAATTTCTTACACATAATAGCAATGTACTTGCAATTCTTCACCCATAATAGTAATATGCAACAACTAAGTACAATGCCTATATTTGTAACGGAATGTAAGTATGTTGCTATTATGGGTAGAAATTAAAGTACATTGCTATTACCTGCAATTTGCCCTTATGTGATGTTTACTATGTATATCGAAGTTGATAACTATTGCTCTTTTTTTTGATACGATACTTCAGGTGCACATTAAGAGGTCTGTTACGGATATGGAATCTGAGATCACAAGTGAAAATGACCATTCTATCCACATGAGCCGTAATTCTAAGCCACCAGTTATTCGGAAAGGAAAATTAGTTGTTGTAGATCTTGCAGGCTCTGAGCGCGTTCATAAGTCAGGTGTGTATCAAGTATCACTTATCTTCTTGGATTCTTATAAACCCACAGCCAGTTATCTTGACATGACCTCAACAAAAAGACTTAAAATGATGCAGAACTAGTTTTAATATTTTTAAAATTATGTTTTTAGAAGCTTACTACGAGTTTAAGCATAAAAAAATTTAAATCACACTAAACAGACCTGATAGTATATAGTTTGGATTTCTTACATTGGTGATTTGTTTTCTATATCAGGAAGTGAAGGACACACATTAGAGGAAGCGAAATCTATAAATCTTTCATTAAGTGCATTAGGGAAGTGCATAAATGCTCTTGCAGAGAATAGCCCTCATGTACCCGTTAGAGATTCTAAGCTGACGAGGCTGCTTAAAGATTCATTTGGAGGCAAGTTATTTAGAATACATCCAAATTATTTACTTATTCCGTTTATAACTTATATCATATTTGTACTCGAACACTATGTACTGAAACCCTAAGATTATTCTATTTGCAGGCACTGCAAGAACATCATTAATTGTAACTGTTGGCCCATCGCCACGTCATCGTGCAGAAACTTCAAGTACTATATTGTTTGGACAAAGGGTGAGTAACTAAGCTTTTGAAGGCCTTAAAATTTAAACGGAAACAATTTTCCCTGTTTTGTTGGTAACTCTTTCTGCATAACACTGACCATTTGCAGACACATTGTCCAGAATCTATATATTAGTAAAAACATCATGCATCAGGTCCCACTCATTTCAAAAATAGTGTTACTGAGTGTTCACCTTTTTGCACTTATCATCTTTTTTTTGAGTTATACATATTTTTAACCGAGAGCTTTAGGTGCCTTTTCTTTTTGACATTATGGGCTTGATGGGGATAGGAAGGTAAATGGTCATATTTCTCTGAACAGAAGGGTAAAATGGTCAATTTACTCACATTCAGACTGTTTCATCCAGTTGAATAAAGAAATAGTCTTTGTGTATACTTACTTCTACACATAGTTTATCCATTCGACACGTACCTATATATAACTTATTGGGAACAAAAGAAACAAGCCCTTAATCCGCTAAGCTATATCGGTATTTCTTATTGACTTAATGGAGAAAAACGAGTTAATAGACTAAGTCAGGAAAAGAGGCTTTCTCATTAAGTCCCAATTTTTATGGAATTTGCTCTTATTTATTTTTCCTTCCATTTCCCCATGTTTGCAATGATTTTCGCAAATAAATTTTGAACATCGTTTATCTAAATAACACTTAATGGGAAAAAAAAGAGAAACACAGCCTCAGCCAGACTACATGTTCTCTCTCTCTCTCTCTCTCTCTCTCTCTCTCTCTCTCTCTCTCTCTTGTGTCCAAGTGTTCAAGTTTTCACAGAAGCATTTTCTCTAATATGGATTGTTTTACTTGTGAAGTAAAAAGTAAACTTTTGTCATTTTTAATTTATTTCAGGCTATGAAGGTGGAGAACATGTTGAAAATAAAGGAGGAATTTGATTACAAAAGTTTGTGTAGAAAGCTTGAGACACAGATTGATAAACTCATTGCAGAAAACGAAAGACAACAGAAAGCATTTGAGGATGAGATTGAAAGGACAGCAATAGAAGCACAACAACGTATATCTGAAGCTGAAATGAATTATACAGAAGCATTGGAGGTTAGTTTGGATATATGTGTTTATAAGTAACTTTTTCCTTTAAAAAATTCAAGGGTTACTGTCACAAATAGGTAACAAACTATTTTTTTTAACAAAACACCATTGTTTTTAAACAACTAAACAAGTACCATAAATACGTAACGAGACATTTGATTTTGTTTACAAAATAGCATTAAATAGTGGTATTTGTAAATACCCTATGATAGTACTTTCTTAAAACAATGGCTTTTTGTGAAAAAAAATGTTTGTTACCCATTTATGACATTAAACCTAAATTTAAGTATGCCTCCAAATAGCTGGTATAATTAGTAATGCTTCATCTAGATCAAGGGGGCATTTCATTTGAAGAATGTTTTTGAAAGGAATAGAATCTATCATGCTTTTGGTTGACAGCAAAATGAAATGGAAGTCAATAATAAAAGTATAATAATTGTATTTTCTTTTATAACTAAATTTTAATTGTTTATGGTAAATGTATGATTTAGTTTTTAATTTTTGTTCATTTCAATATATATAATAGAGTTATTTTTGTCTTTTAACAAAAAAATGAAGAATGAAATTGAATTCCTTCCACTCGCCCTTAAGAGCAACTCCAGCCATATCACCAAACATGACACCAAAATGGTGATATTTAACTCCAAATCTTTTTCCAACTCCAACCACACACTAGAACCATAAAATCAAAACACACACAATCACACACACACACACATATATATATATATATATAATATTATAATAATAAATGTATCCTTGTTACTATTATACTATTATATTAAAACATAGCAATTATGACAAGTAACTAGTTTTTTTTTTTTTTTTTTTTTTTTTTTTTTAAATTTCTGAAATAGTTATGTTACGAAAAATTGTTAAAAAAGTTGATAACTCTTAAAAATTTATATCAATATATTTAAATATAATATTTAATATTGTCTTCATTTTAAAGCTCTCTATTAGATTTTTATAATGATATATTTCATAAATTAATTTCCAACTTTTACATTAAATATATAACAATTTATGTGTAAAATCAAGTTTGGTGTAAACTGTAAAGTGAATAGTATAACACCAGATTGGTGTGTGGAGTTTATTTTCACACCAAAATGGTATTTTGGTGCTCCACTGGAGTTGGTCTGAGAATGGTGAAATCCATCATACACGAAATTCGAATGATCTCTGACCATTTAGACACCGAACATGCAATGGAATGGAATGGAATCTTGAATTCCAATTCCATAGGAATCCAAGAACCAGTGCCCCTCTAGTGAAGTGTGTTTATCACACAGACACTTCATTTGTTACCTTTTCTAAGCATTTCTGCAGCCTTTTAAAATGTTGTATGTTGTTGTAGAGGGAGAAAATGAAATGCCAGATGGACTACATGGAATCAATTAAAAAGCTCGAGGAAAAGTGGATGCACAATCAACCAAAACGTGTAACCAATGGCTTCAGTAATGGCAATCACAGTGCAGAGGTAATCATAATCCGACATAATTTATCTATGTTCTTCCCTTACTTCTTTTTTCAACAATTTGGGCTAAATGCAAGAAATATCAACATATTTTGATTACTTTCATTTATTGTTTATAGCATCCTGCATCCATTTCTATTATGAAATTATACTCATAATCCTATTCTTATCAACTTATCAAAACATTGTACTCTGAAATATCTACCCAATTATAGCATTGTATTTTCAAATTTTTTCTTATCAAGAGCAGTGAAATTGCTTTGTAGTTAGATGATATTACTGTAATTAGTTAATTTTTTCAAACTACACTGCTATAATAGAAAGAAATGAAGGTAGGATGTAATTTCTTGCATTTAACCCAAAAGGGTTCATGATCATCCATACCAATGCAGCTGTGTTTAAATTCAAGAATCCATAGAATTCTTGCTTTACAAAATTCATTTTTTCATTAGTTTCACTCACTTTCTTTATATGACCAGGGTAATAATGATCATGCCAATGAAGATGTTACAGAATTAAAGATAATGCTTCAAAAAGAAATTTCTTTACGGAAACGGGCTGAAGAAGAGATTCACAGTCTTAGAAATTCACAATTTTGCCCTACAGAGGTCTGATTTTTATGATATCCAACCAGGATAAGATATATATATATTTTAAATCTTTTAAGTTTTTTTTTTTTCAATTGAATATGTATTACATCACATATTATCCTCATGGACTAGGCAGATGCAAATGCTGATGTTGTAAAGCTTCAAAATTTATTGGACGAAGAGACTCGTCAGAAACAGAAACTGGAAGATGAGGTTTTGATGTTACAAAGTAGATTGTCTCAACTCTCTTTTGGTTCGGGTCAGGTATGTGGCTACTTTTCAATACAGGGATAAATGCAAGAAATCGCACTTCACTTTCATTCATTTGTTTGTTATATCATTCTACTTTCAATTTTTTTTTCTTGTCTTACCATTGTACTTTGAAAGATCTATCCATCTATAGCAATGGCATCCATATACAAAGCAATTCTCATTGCTACAAATGAGTGCATCTTTTGAAGTAAAACATCCTAAAAAAGAAAAAAAGTTGGAAGCACATGCTACAAGTTACAATTGAGTTGATTTTTCACTGTACGCCGTAATAACTAAACAACTGAAAGTACAATGCTGTAATAGAAGGAAATGGAAGTAAGATGCTATAATACACAAAAAAATGAAAGTATATTGCTAGAGCTATATTAAGTTGTACCTAATTCTTTAGTTCATTGTTTCAGTCTAGATACTCACAGATTGATGATCGAGGCAATGGGGAGACAACATCAATAGCTAATCTTCATGAACATGGTATGCAGGATTTGCAGTTATCACCTAAAACTGATGGCTTATATTCTTCTAACTTTTTGTTTTTTAATCAAATTACACAGTTGGATTGCAAAAAATATTGTCTTTGCTAGAGTCGGAAGATCCTAATGTACGCTTGCATGCAGTGAAGGTGGTGGCAAATCTAGCAGCTGAAGGTCATTAGTTTCTGTAACCTTCTTCACATGTTTTCTATATAGTGTTAAATGCCAGAAATAGCAACATACTTTCATTGATTTGTTTATTATAGCATTATACTTCTATTTCTTTTGAAAAATCTATCAATTATAGCAATGTCTCATCTAAATACAAAGCGGTTTTCTCTGCTATAGTTGGGTAGATTTTTTTAAGGGTTAATATCATAAAAGACCTTATTTATTGTGTTTTTTCTAGATTAAACCTCAACATCTTTTTTTTTTTTTTCTGAAAAAGACCTTGTATTTTTCTATTTTTTTTGATTTAGCCCTTTTAGCAGTTTTTGTTTTTGAATTTTTTGTTGAATGTGAGGATTTTTCCTGAAAAAAATAAAAAGTTTTTTTTTGAAAAAATTAAAAGGCTGAGGGTTTTTTGCGGAAAAAATGAAAAAAATGCAAGGTTTTTTTCAGGAAAAAAATAAAGTTGAGGTTTAATCTGGAAAAAACCCAAAATATAAGGTCTTTCATAATATAACCTTTTTTTTTAAAAGTATAATGTCTTAATAAGAAAAAATTTGGAAGTGCTATGCCGTGATTGAGTAAACTTTTGAAATTTAAAATTTTAATAAGTTAAAGTTAGAAGTAAAATGATGTAACTGGGTAGAATTTTAGAAGTACAATGCCTTGATAAGGATTTTTTAAAGTAAAATACTTTAATAGAAAGAAATGAAAGTAGAAGTAGGTCGCTAGTTCTTGCACTTAACCCTTGGATTTATTACATTGTCAAATAGAAAGTTGTTGCATCCCCATTTTAAGATTATTTTAGATGGTGTTATATTTATCCACAGTCAAAATGGTGATTTTAGATATAAAAACTGATTCCAGTACACCCAAATTCAAATTCAATTAATCATTCCTAAAAGTTTATTTAAAAGTCGATTCATGTTGTGAATGTGCAGATACAAATCAGGAAAGAATAGTTGAAGCTGGTGGACTCTCATCACTTTTGGCACTTCTTAGAAGTAGAAGCTTTGATGAAACTATTTGCAGAATAGCAGCTGGTGCTATTGCAAATCTTGCCATGAATGGTCTCTTTCTCTCTCTCTCATTTGCATATTTTTTTGTTTGTAATTATATTTCATTTTATAATCAGGCATATTTCTAATGGCTCTCTTTTTAAAAATGAATAAGTTGGATAAAACCAATATACGATTAGGTAAAATGTTGTTGAATTTTTGCTAATTGGCATGTTTTAATTTGTTTGTGGTGTTTACAGAAGCTAATCAAGAACTTATAATGGGTCAAGGTGGAATTAGTCTATTGGCAATGACTGCAGCTGATGCTGAGGATCCACAGACTCTACGAATGGTAGCTGGAGCTATTGCCAATCTATGTGGAAATGGTACTGCTTATTTTCATACTTCTATTTACTTGTTTGTTTGTTATGGCATCCTACTTTCTTTTCTTCCTTTTACAGCAGTGTAGTTTGAAAAATCTACTCAATTATAGCAATGTTTTTATTTTGCATAATTGAGAAGATTTTTCAAAGTACAATGTCTTAATAGGAAAAAATGAAAGTAACTGCTATAATAAAGAAATGAATGAGGGTACGTTGCAATTTCTTGCATTTAATGTGTGTATTTGGTTGCAATTGCCAGATAAACTGCAAACTCGGTTGCGATCTGAAGGTGGAATTAAGGCTTTGTTGGGGATGGTTAGGTCAAGACATCCAGATGTTCTTTCTCAAGTTGCACGTGGAGTTGCAAATTTTGCAAAATGCGAGTCCAGAACTTCTAGCAAAGGTAATAATCAATAAATAAATAATTCTTCAATGGGTAAATTGATAAAATAATGGGAAGTACAATCACAATGTGATTTTTTTTTCTCTATTTCAACTTTTTTTTTTTTTTTTTTTTTTTTTTTATAAAAAACCAGATAATCGGGAAAAATGGATTTTAGATCATTGAAAAAGGAGTATAATGGTTTAATCACTACAAAAAAATAGTTGTACTTTACTCATTTATATATATATATATATATATATATATAGATAATATAATATAGTATTATAACACTTCAATAAATACAATTTTAAAAGAATCTTGTGGATCCAAAATCACAACATACTTTCACAATTTTATCGATTTAGCAAAATGTGCTTTTATCATTTTATTGATTTAGCCACCAAACAGTTATTATAGTAATCATAAAAAAGTAATAGTTTAGTGGGTAAATGCCTAAATTGGTGAAAGTAAGTTGTGATGCGAAATATGTATATATGTCCAAAAAAAGTATAATGGGTTAATTACTACAGAAAATCGTTGAAGTAGCTCTAAACCCACAACATAATGAAAATAAGTTTTGTGTTTTTGTATTTTTCTTTCTTATCAAATAATCTATAATACCTCTAAAATAGAAACAATTGACAGAATGTAGTGGACCAAATTTACTTTCTTACTTATTTGCTGAACAATGGGAAATATGTTACAGACATATATGGCTTATGGCATTAAAAATGAAGGAATGAAAATTGCAAGTTATATTTTATGGTTTATTTTCCTTGTTTCTAATTCTATAATGCGTAATGCTAAAAATATTTAACTGATTATAATGTGTTATAGGGAACAAAAATAATCGGTCTATGTTGATAGAAGATGGAGCACTTCCATGGATTGTACAAAATGCCAACAACGATGCATCAATAATTAGACGCCACATTGAGCTTGCACTTTGTCATTTAGCACAACATGGTATGTTTATTTCATTACAAATCTTTCCTTTCAGCCATACAACAAGAATATTTTTAAGAGTAAATTACAAATTTGGTCCCTATACTTTACACAAAATCACAAATTCAGTGCAAAATTTGAAGTCATTTTATATGGGTCATGGATCATGTTCGCAACAAAATGCAACCTTAAGGACGACATTGGGACATTTACAAAATTTGGACCGAACTTGTGATTTTTGGTAAACTACAGGGACCAAATTTGTAATTTTTTTTAATTGATAAAACGGTTTAGGAACTTGTGTGTTTTGTTTGAACAAGCAACTTTCTTACGTACACTATTGACTTTTTCTTTTTAGCTATTTATTATTATTATTTTACCCATTGACCCGCTAGAAATGAAAATGCAACTAAAATCGACATATTTTTTATTATAATTTCAGAGGTAAATGCAAAAGACATGGTAAGTGGAGGTGCCCTATGGGAATTGGTTCGGATCTCCCGTGATTGTTCCCGTGATGACATACGTGCTCTAGCACGCCGAACTTTGACTTCCAGTCAAATCTTCTCTTCCGAACTCCGACGCCTACGTGTCGAGATCTGATTCGCCGATTCTGTTTCTGTGCTCTAGCTTTTCTCCTAATTAATGAACTAAAATTATATCATATTTTTGTAATGATCGTGAATCATTCCACTCTGTTGTGGTTGCCTCACGTTCGGTGTTGTTTATAGGATAACAAAAACTCGTTTTATAAACATATTGTGAATTTAGTCATTTAGTGGATTTCTGTTGGTAAATCTGATACGAACCTAAGCCAATTGTGTCAGATAAACATGTCTTGTCAGTTATGCCTTAGGCCCGAATATATGATCTAGGGTTTGAGCAGTGCGGGAGATCTAGTTCCCATGTGGATTGGGTTTCTTCTGGCAGTATATCTGATGTAATAGGGACAGTGGACTGTAAAACGTAAAATACGAAAAAATATATATATATATATATATAAAAGTAAATTAGGACTTGTGTACTTTAATGTATTCAAGTATAGACATACATTAAAATAAATTACAATAGATATTAAAAAAAAAAACAAAATAAAAGATCAATTAAGTATTTGTTCTGACCACAATCTTTATGGTCATGATCTTATGAGGGAGGGTGTCTAGTGGATGGGATAGGGTTGGGAGGGGGGGGGGGGGGGAGTTTGATATTTTTATTTTTATTTTCAAATTATAAAAATAAAAAAAATGTAAAAATCAAATTAAAACGGTATAGTAGTGTAGTAGTAGTTGTTTTTTTTTTTTTTTTTTTTTTGAGTAAATTGCAAAATTGGTCATTGTGGTTTACAAAAAAGTGCAGTTTTAGAACATTGGTTCAAAATCGAAACTATCGTGCAACATTGATCCCTCGACTTAACTGCCGATATCTTTTTCCAATTAAGTTGGTCACATGCCACTCATGTGAGCGTGTATTTGTCATTTTAGTAGTTTACTCCTAATTAATTAATATAAAAATAACACACACACACACACACACTCTCTCTCCTCTCTCTCTCTCTCTCTCTCTCTCTCTCTCCTCTCTCCCTCCCCCTCTCTCTCTCTGTGTGATGAGCATTGTTCACGAATGGTTTGACTAATTGTGTTATTGATTGTAATAATGCTTAATATTGCCCCTCAAGATGGACAGCCGTGAGGTTAGGCCAATCTTGGCAGTCAAGAGATTTAACAGTTGTTTAGGAAGAGCTTTCGTTAGAACATCCGCAAGTTGGTCATTCCCAGAGATATGGGTAACCCGTAAGGAACCATCCTGGACTTTTTCCCTGCCAAAGTGAAAGTCAAGTGCCAAATGTTTCATTTGGGAATTAAAAATGGGGTTGGCTGAGTAAGTTATTGCACTTAAATTATCGCAATAGATGGTAGGAACCAGAGCTAGGGTTAGGAAGTAAGCCGCACAAAGAAATGTTAAGAGGAAGGGTGAAGCTGCCATCGCCGTTATTATGTGGTAGTGGTAGAGATTTATGTGCTTGTATGCTATGTTATTATGTGGTAGTGGTAGGAGGGGTGAAATAGACCCCGTAACCGGTTGAGATAAACCGGAGTAGGTCGGGCACCCAGATATGCCTGACAATATGCTTATGCTATGTTATTATGTGGTAGAGGTAGGGGGTGGAATAGACCCCGTAACCGGTTGAAATAAACCGGAGGGCAGGTCGGGCACCCAGATATGCCTGGCAGGGGTAGGTCGGGCACCCCGGTATGTCTGGGTAGGTTGAGCACCCAGGTATGCTCAGCAGGGTAGGTCGGGCACCCACATATGCCTAACAGGGTAGGCCGGGCACCCAGATATGCCTAGCAGTATGTGATTATGTGGTATGATGGGAGAACTCACTAAACTTTGTGCTTACGGTTTTCAGTTTTGGTTTCATGTACTTCTTCCTCGAAAGGAAAGGAGCCGACATGATCGCAGCGCATCACACTATGGTTTTCCGCATTACGAGATCTTTGGGAGTTGTATTCTAATATTGTTTTCTTGTGACATGTTTTGGTTATTGACGTATTGGTTTCGATTATGATATGGGATGACACTATTGATGTTTTCAAACTACGGGTTGTTATAATTACTTATTTAAAAACGAAATTTTTGGTTCTAAATTTTGGGATGTTACAAGTTGGTATTAGAGCCTTGGTTTGAGGGATTCGGGCACACTTTCGGGGGTGTCTGGACTCAAATCGAGGGTTTGAGAGGTTTTTACAAGAAATATAATTTTTCTAAAATTTAAAATTAAGGGTTTTTGATAAAGAACAAGGAGTGTGATGCGTGCAATCGGCCGAACTCAAGTAAGTTTTCCCAAGATACCACACATGTTTATTATGATATATGATATGGTTATGAGAATTGCATGCTAGATTAGGGATAAGGATCTAGGAAGGATGCCTTGTATGCATACTGTATGTGCTTATTGAACTGCATGCTTGTACTGATTAGACAGTTATATGATGGCCTGATTAGGACATGCCTGGTTTTGGTTACTCAATGCTCGAATGCTGATTGCTTTGTACTATTAGGAGTTCTAGTTATCTCTAACTAACTAGTAAACGAATACGTTAAGTTACATATTACGAGGACTAAATAATTTCAGAAGGTTAGGTTTATCCCTATTGCGCAACTCTTGTCTGAGTCTAACCGTTGTAGGGAGAGACCTTTCATTCGAAGAATTATCTGGTTTTAGTAATATGTAATGGTATTCGCGAGATAGTTAGGGGGAGATAGCAGGGACTTCTTGTGCAGCTGATGACAGAGAGTGGGTCGGAGATTACCCTAGGGTAAGCCTAGGATGAGATTAGTGCTGGGAGCAGTATTAGTGAAAGGGACTTGGTGGAATCAAGGTAATTCTTGAGGAAAGAACGGATAGATATGGAAGGTAGTATGGGCCCGTACTACTGAAAGCAGATGATCCGTACTCGATTCAAGGAGGGCTGCGATAAGACCAGTAAATTTGTAGTGCGTATGTGGTCCCTCGATATTGGATGAGTATTCAAATGGTTGTTATGGTATGTTTCCAGCATGGTGACGCTACGAGGTAGACCAGATGGCAGTTATGGTGCCGACGAGGGATCAGGCTCGGACTCCGGAGCCAGGCAGCTCGATGATCAGATGAGAGAGTTCATTTCATCTGAGATTATGCGCAGTATCATTTACCAGACTCCTGTGATCTTCGGTACGGTCAAGGAGGGCATTTTGAAGATCCTTGATGAGAGGATGAGTACATTTCCCTCTGAGGTGATGACTATGATGGGGACGCGCGAGATGACGTTTCGGGAGTTCCGAGCTTATGGAGCTCCAGACTATCATGGGGTTAGGGACCCCATTCTTAGTAGGAGGTGGTTAGCGGATATGGCTAACGTGTTCAGGACGAGTTTCTGCCCCGAGAAGGCGAAGGTCAGATATGCTTCCTGCCTGTTGAAGGACCGGGTACGTGATTGGTGGGAAGAGATTGGTAGTGAGTTGGGTGATGATGCGGTTGATGCTATGTCATGGGATGAATTCTCGACTAGGTTTCTAGCGGAGTTTGCTCCGACAATTGAGGTGCAGCAGTTGGCGCGAGAGTTTCTGGGTCTCCGCCAGACTATTGATACTGTGGCAGAGGTCACTGCCAAGTCTCGGGAGATGGATTTGTTGGTACTGTAGTAAGAAGCAGATGAGTAGATGAAGAAAGTGAGGAATCATGAAATGCTGCGGGATGACATCAGGGAGTTCGTGAGTATTTTGGGGTGCGAGACCCTAAATGATATGATTTCTAGAGCCCGTACGTGGGAGATAGATTTGGAGCACATTGGTAAGAGGGGGTCAGATCAGGTGCAGACATTGGAGGGTCCCGTGAAGAGACCCAAGATTTCTGACCAGCGCATGAAAGGCCAGCAAGGCCAGAACCTGTGCAGCACATGAGGGAAACTGCACGAGGGGACTTGTCGTTCCAGAGGTTTGGGCTGCTACAAGTGTCACACCCCCGAGACAGACGGCGGAAACGTCCGGGGGTTGAGTGACTTCATCTTGTAATATCATCACAGTGAATATAATTGAAACAAGGGAAGCATCATCATCACACATGCAATAATACAACAATACTGAGTTTACATCATTGTAATTGTTTACCAAAGGTTACATCCCAAAAATATAAGGTTTTTAATAACATCAAAATGCAACAATTTCCACATGTTCTCGATGTCCACCTGCTTAATGATTTCCTGAGAATACAAGTTAATTTGAAAATGTCAACACATATAATGTTGGTGAGTTTATAAGCATGTTTGTATTACTTTGTAAACACCAGAAAATCCGATATTTTCTGAAAAACGGTTTAAGATGTTTGTGTCCGATCTTGTATTAATGCATGTGTGTTAATGTTTGAAAATGTATGAAGTGAATGATCCCAGACAATCCGATATTGTCTGTTTATAAAACGTTGTGGTCTTATCACCCTAAGACTGAGTACCAGTGTATGTATGTTTCCGTGTTACCAAACTGTAAATGTATTCCGTAAATTTTTATAATGGAGTTAATTACTTTGTGAGTTCGTTATAACCATACTTGATATGACTGATCTGCCTGTCATGACGTTTTTCAGGCGCCGACTTGTTTAAGGTAAGGTTTGTCGCCCTAGACTGGCCTAGTCTAATTGTAGCGAACACCTCAGGCGTGGGGTGTCACCCCCGTATAGATCTATACACAAACCCCCGCTCTCCCTCCAGGAGACTCTGGTTATAACTACATGACTTAAGGTTGTACGCTAGATAGGTACGGATGAACACGTGTCTCACAAGAAACTTAACTAAATGTACGCGAATATTGTATCACACTATTTAACGTAGTTAATAATGTTTTCCAAATATTTGTATGTATACAAGGCCCAAGGTGTATGTATGTGAATGTACGAAGCCAGAAGCATATAAATGGACCACAAGGGCCCAAATAAACATGTAATGTAAGTTCCAGGCCCAATAGCATGTAAAAGGACAACTAAGGCCCACTAAACATGTATTGTATATTCCAGACCCAATAAGCATGCAAAAGGACAACTAAGACCCACTAAGTACGTAATGTATATTCCAGGCCCAATAAGCATGCAAAAGGACAACTAATGCCCACTAAGCATGTAATGTATATTTCAGGCCCAATAAAAGTGAGTTTAACGTATTTGACTCGTTTGTTATTGTAATGTTCGTTCTTATTCAAT